CAGCCCCCCCCCCCCCCCCACGAAATGCTGCAATAGATCTGTAGATCTGATACGGTTCTGGGCACTTCAAACTGCTCAGAAAGCCTGAGCTCGCAGATGAAACCCCGCACTTCACACGGTTCAGGGTTTAGCGCGTGGGTGTAGAATGTTTATCACACTCCGACGGCTTGAACTCTGGCGCCAAGTCGGGTTCAACCCTTCGGCCGCCCTGATTTCTGCAGCTTTGCCTGGGTGTTCCCGGTCTGTGGGAAACCTCACGAGCGCTTTTTCACATGTAGCTAGCAATATATGGCAAGGAACGGCTGACAGTTGCAACAGTAACCACGATGTTGTTAGTCCCAAGTTCTATACCCCGAGCCCTGAAAGAAAAGAGCCGGCTTTCCTAAGCTGAGGCCTCGTCTCCCGGCGCAGCTTGGCTCTGCATGGTTTTTTTCCTGTGGTGACGACCCTAAACTCTGTAAGCCCTAAACACTGATTGAATTTGGACTTGGGGTTCAAGCGACTGCTCTCAGACATGATGACGGCCACTTCAGTGCGAAGGCCGAATCTACGAAGTACGAGAGCTTTCTAAGACGAATCTTGTTCCGATCTTTAATTTTGGTAAAGCGTAAGCAAATTCCCAGACAGTTTTTAGCCCGATAGATTTCAAGCCGAACCTAGCCCACGAAGCCCCAGGCACTGTGACAAAAACTGCCTACCTGGCCCATCAAGCCCCATCACAGCTGTGGTGGTTTAGGGTTGAGGGTTCAGGGTTAAGGGTGCTGCAGGAAAAATTGGAGCTGGTTCTTTGGTAGTGGATGGAGGTGCTATACAGAGTGAAGATGAGTGGAAAAACCTCGCTACATCCAAACCTTAGCATCCCAAAGGCCCTAAACCCCACACCAACCCTAAACCCTAAACCCTAAAACCCTAAACCTTAAAACCCTAAACCCTAAAACCCTAAACCATCCTAAAGTCTAAACCCCACACCCCGAAACCCTAAAAGATCTCAGGATCGGGTTGGCTTCACTCGAGCTTCGCTGCGAAGCTGTGAGTTTTTCTGTGCCAACACGGACGGCTGTCACAGTCTCCCGCGCGCAACTACACGAGGGTTTAGGGTTTAGGGGTTTAGGGTTTAGGATTTAGGGGTTTAGGGTTTAGGGTTCATGGCTTTGGGCGTAGGCACAGCTGCGCAGATTCATGATTTCGGAGTTTAGCATTCAGAGCTTCAGGTCTTCTGGGCTCTCGGATATGAGGCTTCTGATGGTTAAGGTCGAAATCAAGAGCGAACCAATCCAGAAGCTCAGAAACGGTGGATTGTCCAGCTGAAGGATTTGGGGCTGAATTAGGGTTTGAATGCCGCTTTCAGTTTGGAGGCATGGAGGTGGTTGAGAGATCCACGCTTTGGACCGGCCACGTGGGGCCTGACGGGGTGAAAGCTGACTCATCCTGAGCATCTTACCACCCGACATGCAAAGCCTTTTGCATAGCAGTTCAAGAGAGTCAACCGTAAGCACTGGAAGAAATCTCCCAACCCAAAGAATCGAGAAACCCGTTGAGATTTGGGTTGACCCTACAAATTCAGTTGCCCAAGCCCCCAAAAGCCTAAAATGCTTAGATACCTGAGCCGCTTACAAGCACTGAGCCGCAAAAGCTCCCAAATACGCAATCCTGAAAATCTACGTCCAGAGCAAGCTCCAAAAAATTGATCAAGTTGAGACCTAAACGGAAAGCAAGCCCCCCGAATCCTGAAACTCTAAACCCACGCACCCTGAACCTCAAAAGTAGAACTTGCCTAATGTAGGGATTGGAACAAGTGGTATAATATGTAGCAAAATCAAGGCTGATTACATCCCCTAAAAGTCCCTGTTGTATCTTTTCGACCATGTACCCTGAAACCCTAGTCTCATCGGTAAGGCCCCTATCCCAGAGAGCCCAATACCCCTTAAATAAGGAATATAGCTTAAATTATAGGGGAGTTAGTTTTATGGTTTAAGGTATATTCCTTAATTATCGGGGCCTTAATATTATGATTATAGGTATATTCCTTCAGTTATAGGGGCCTCAACTTTATGAATTAAGGTATATTCCTTAATTCCCTGATAGAAACCCTTATAGATCCCTTTAAGGAACGCTGTTTAAGGTATGTATTCCTTAATTAAGGGAGTATGGGGCTCTCTGGGATATGATGAAGCCGCGGCTCTTTCGTTGAGGCTTCGAGTCTTGTCCGAAAACGCGTGCCTGCGTGCTCAGATCACAGGCACGTAGTGGGGGTTAGGGGTTATAGGGTTTAGGGCTTTAGGGGTTTAGGGTTCAGGGTTAGGGGTTATAGGGGTTGTAGGGTTTAGGGGTTAAGGGCTTAGGGCTAAGAGTTAGGAGTTGTTGGGTGTTGGGGGTTCTTACTTGGGTTCTGAGGGGGGTTTTGTATCGGGTTCTTTTGGGGCTTGTCATTTGACCCCCTTAAGTTTTGTAGGGTTCTTTTGGAGCTGCTTTGGAGTTGTGCTAGTTGCCAGGGATGTTCTGCGGGGCTTTGGGTTTCGACTGAGGGTTCCGAGGGGTTTCGGTTTAGGGTCTGGGTTTAGGGTTTAGGGTTTAGGGTCTGGGTTAAGGTTTCGGCTCTAGAGCTATGAGGCTTCTTCAAGCGAGCTCTGGGGTTTGAGTATCAGGGGGTTCAGGGTTAACCGTTTAGGCTGCAACTAAAGGGTGTTCCGGGGCAGAAAGGGACTTCGAGACGCGCGCAGCCTAAGCCCTCAACCGTAAAAGAATGCATCGGACTGCGTTCCAGCTCTGGGCGTGCTTGGCCTTTTCGGGTTTCTTTGGATTTTGGCCTTCAAGCCTGTGGGTTCTAAGCTAATTTATCGCAGAATGATTATAAACACTGTTTTCTTTAAGGTTGGGTTAAGATTCGCATTTTAAGTATCCCTTACTACCGGAGCGGGTTTATGAAGCAGGGATCTAGTTGGGTCCTGGTTTTTGGCTTTGCGGTCCGGGCATCGCACTCGTGCCTGCCACAGTCAGCTGGCATGAACTGCAGCAATTCTACAATCCAGTGCGGGATATCATGCCATGAATCGACATTTGCACAAGCCAAGTTGCGTGTTGAGTCGCAAAGCTTCGACCACAACTGGTCCAGCATCGACATCAGGTCAGATGCAATGCACCGTCAAGTGCGTATGTAACGAGCAGGTCAGTCCGCCAAAGGCCGAAACCAAAGGCGCGGAGTCGTTCGGACGTGGATATGTTTGACACTGTTGCCACCAAGACTAATCTCGGCCTGGCCAGCTTGCTGAACTCAAAGGCTACACTACATGAACATAGGTCACCATTGTTTCGCGCGCGCCCCTGTTCCGCCCACCCGGCGGCTGCTCCAGTCGGTGTAGGGCAACTCGTGCCTTAAAACATGGGCTAACATAAACTGGTGCTCGTGCCAAAAGACGCAGCACCACGATGGTGAATGTACATGTGTATCGAAAGGCGCTACGTATTGTATGTGCATCAGCAAAAACTCGCATGGTGACACTCGTCAGGACAGGCAGGTGAGGAAACAGCTTAGCATGTTAGCAAACACACAGCACCACTCTTAAACCCTGAGACTCCTAAAACGCCGTTTGTAGCATTACGATGGCAATCCTTGCTAAAATCCCAGACTACGAAGTCATGAATCCGACAGCCTCCAGTCCATAGGCTCGCCTTCCTAAATCCTTTCGGTCCGTGACAGGCTCTGTCGGGTACAGAGCCTTGGGTGCTGCCCGACTCTATCGAGCGTTGGGGTGTTTAGCACTCTCGGATTTCGGGCTTTGGGCTTTTAAGATTGCTCTGCGGGTTTGGCTTGATCTGCTGAGGTTCTAAGGCCTTAAACCCTGGGGCCGCGGGCATCTTGAAATACACTTATTCGAAGTTCTGGGACCTTAGATGTGGCATCGGGCTGTCCGTTCCAGAGCCTCAGTGTGTATTCAAGCAGTACAATGGCTCCGTGTTTCGATGTGAGTGTTTCAGCACGTACTCTGTTTTGGCATTGATTGGTATGTTTATGCTTACACTTTTTTGGCTGACGGCCCAGCTTCCCTCTTTTACGATGCATCAGGGAGCCAGCTGTCTTCCGGCCAGCTAGGACATGGTTGCTAACAATGACGCTAGCAACAGCTGGCTGCAGCAGACAGAAGGGGAGTAGTCAGCGTCTGCAGTAGTATCAGTCGTGGTCGCTGCTGTAGGTGGTAGTAGCGGAAGCGGTCTTGACATTGGTAGTGGTGGTAGTGGCAGCATCAGTAGTTCTAGTACTAGCAGTAACAACCTTGGTGGTAGAATGAGACTGCAAGCCCCAAGCCCATGCAAACCCGAAGTTTTATAAACCTTTAGCAGGCGTTGAACCCAAAGATTCTCGACCCGATTATTTTGAGCTGAGGCGGTCCACATACTGCCAGACGTGGTATCGCAAAGTACCCGGCTTCTCGCCAACGGGCGGCAGCTTGGTGAAAATGAATAAGCTTCTATATCAATGACGTTTGCTGCTGCTGCTGCTGCTTCTGCTGCTACTCCTACTACTACTACTACTCCTCCTGTTCCTCCTCCTCCTCCTCCTCTTCCTCTTACTAACTCCTCTTCCTACTCCTCCTGCTGCTGCGGTTCGGCTACCCCTACTACCGCTACCGCGCTGCTACTCCTACTCCTACTACCACTATATCATTAACAAATGGGAGTAAGATCCTGGCAGAGTTTCGTAGGATCACGCATGTTCTTGCGCCACCCCTCATGTACGCACCGCATGGTTGGGTCATGGATGCTCCGGTCATCCGACGATGCATTCGGGTGTGGACGTTATTATCGTGGTTCGGCGGATAGATGATTGAATTATCGGATGCGGTCGGAGTGGACGGCATCAAGGTTGTGCCATGGATGCTCCGGTCATCGGATGGTGAACACCGATCAGCGGATGGTGCAAACTTCGCACGAAAGCACGGGGCAATCTACCACCAACTATTCATGCCCTTGCACAAAGCAGGATTCAGCGTTTCCAGGATCTTTGTGGAGTCCTGTTTGACACTTGGACTCCGATGCGCGCGGGAAGGCAAGTCGGTGGTCTACAAGCAATGTGAGAAGGGCAGCGTTCCTCAGGCCGTGGGGAGCTCTGGGCCCTAAGCCCCTAAAATGGGTAACCCGAAGCCAGGCAGCCTTAGCCGTAGAGGAAACCCTACAAACCTGAAGGCTGCTGGATGCTCTGGGTTTGGGGCTGTATTGTGGTATGTTTGGGGCTATGCTGACAAGCTTGCATGCTGCTGGGATTCGGAGCTCCGCCGTCGGGAGTTCTGGTTTTTGTTTTAGGGAGTTTAGGGCTTGGGGTTCAGAGTCGGGCGCGGGATTATCACAGCTTGCAAGATGCAGTGTCTATGCAGCAGGGCATAAGAAGCTCCTTTCCATCTCATTCCATTTCCCGCGCATCATCAGCCTCGATGCCTACTTGTGCGTCTTTGTCTGCCCAGCCTATATCGGTCTAAGGGTCACGGTTTCTGTTCCTTCCGCGATTTGGCCAGACACCCTGGGCTGCTTTGGGTTGAGCGCAGGTCGATGGTTCTCACGTTGCACCTAGAGGCATGTTCTGTATCTCATATTGATCCAGGTGCAATGTACATCTCCCTTCGCTTGCTGAGGGTCAAGAATGAAAGAGGCCGTGAGTTTGGCTGGAGCGCTCCAACCCTAAACCCTAAACCCCCAGACCCCTAAACCCTAAACCCTCAAATTGCTCTTGGGAGGGCCAAGTCCCGAAACCACCGAAGCTTCGAAGCACCGCAGGCAGGGAAGTGCGTGAAAGCAGATGGCCCGGCCTCGATGACCTTCTACCAGTACAGTGCTCAGAGCAAGGCCCGGTTTAGGGTTTAGGGTCCAGCATGCAAGCATGTCACCTTCAGATTCGGAGACTGGACCCCGATCCTAAAAAGTGTTGCCCTAAACTCTACCTCGAGATCACGGTGCCGGGGTGATACACTTCAGGATTCAATATCCAAGCGGGAGTTGTAAAATCCATGAGCTACAATGATGACTTCTCGCGGATGTTTTGCGAGGTTGTCTCTCGGGTATCGGGTCTGGGTGTTTGAACTGTATACTGGCAAGCATCGAGATAGCCTTACAGGCTAAGCAGCCTTTGAAATCCCCAGCCCGAGAAGCACGAGTTGAAGGCCGTGGCAACGAACCTTACTGCAGGCACGACATCATCACCACAGGAAGAACAGTATGCAGAAGCGCCCTCGTCGTGCTAGTGTCGTGATGGTTGTGGTTCTCAACGCCGGTGTCGTGGTAGTTGTAGTACTAGGTAGTGGCAAGTTGTTGCGTGCAGTGTAGTACTGGCAGCAGAACCAGTTACCGCGATGGGTCTGGAACAAGAATTGGGGAGGTATTCAATAAAGGGGTCAGAGCAATTTTTAGCAAAAGTCTAAGATTGAATATACCCCCCAGCCGTATTCTGATTATCCAGGCCCCGATGTTGACCTCATCTCCCCGAACACATCTCACCAAGTCGCAGAAGGGCTCCGCCCAACCTTGAACGTTAAGCACTCAGGCCCTGAAAACCACAAACATCTAAACACCCTCTGCGCGAAACCCTTAAAACCAAACCCCAAGCTTCGAAACCATGATCTTTCAAACCCCCAACCCTAAGGCCCTAAGGCGCAAAATCCTAAAGTCGTATAGCCCCTTTCCTGAACTCCCTCACAAACCCGTATGGAACAACCCGAGTGGAACGCTTCTGAAATCAAAAAGCCCTGCCGCCTTGTGAGTACGACCCCGACCGGCACTGGGAGAACATGGACATGGCCAGCCTGGGAGGTGTCCTGCACCTTTGTCTGAAAGGCCTAATGTGTTGACATCAACGGCGTTTAGTGCTTGACGATGTAGGTGGTGTTTCGGGTTTGAGGCTTTAGGGTTGTAAGTTTCAATCGGGTAGGGATTACACTTTGAGGTTCGGCGAGTTAAAAGCTCAGTGTAGACGTTGTGAGGATTTGCTTCAGGGAAATATGCAAGTTTCGGGTTTCCAAAAGCCAGAGCCCCAGCCACAACATCGCACACCTCGGCCCTTGCAAGCAGTCGGGGGACCCTAACCCAGACCCTCCAAAGTAGGATCGTTATTTCAAGGCCCCCAAGACGTGACCCTCATATAGAAGCCATAAATATTTACCAATAGTTCTGTTCGGGTTCCTCTTTATAAATAAGCCAGAAAGGAGCCCAAAACCCTATTCTAGTTATTAAGGCCCCTACATCTAAGTTTCTGAATCTCCCAGGTTTTATCTGCACAACGAGGTGGTGGGCAACAACGGCGAGCAGCTGGTGGACGGAAAGAATCTCTCAGCAAGACGGGTGGTATAGACGGACTAAACTGACTAAACGGTGCCGGCTACTATGGTTTATAGTCGTTTTTTGATATGGAGATCGCCCAATTTGCGTTGCCAGCCTTCTAATTCTAGTCTAACACATATATATATATGTATATACATACATACATACATACATACATACATACATACACACACACACACGCGAGCTCTGGAGACTACTACAGATGTGGGGCGGCAAGAAAATTTCTAAGAATGGCAGGCACAAGCCTAGATAGATACAGTACCAGGAAGAACCATTACCAACATTAGGAGCTGCGGCAGCGGTCACGGCAACCGAAATCCAAATCGCAACGGTAGCGAAGAGTGGCTTGAAAAATGGAAGAATGATCAAGCACTCAAACAAAACTCGGGGGAAGCAAGTCCTGACAGTCCGGAGCACACCATAAACCGACATTCAGAAGTCGAGCCGTTCAAGCCATCCATACGCTGCTGTTATGAGTATACTAGGATATACCACCAAACCCTTGTCGAAATGTCAAGCCGAATGTCGAGGAGAACGACGAAGTTCTCGATCGACCGCATTGTCCGCTTCAAAGTCACTGTGCAACCTCACCCAAAGCTTTACATGGTGATGCGTTTTTTTTTTGCTTCCGTTTGCTTCAGAAGACATTGATACGCTTCTCCTACGAAGCAAGTCCCGAAGGGTCAGAGTTGCAACTCCTGTATCGTACTGCAAAGGATGTGTTCCCAACAGATGTCGCGATGCGCAAAATCCCCAGAGGAGATTCATCCATCATGAGACCGGCCCCGAAACCCTGAGATCCAATCTTTGCGTCCCGCAGTGGGGTCCATGCTGTTCAGAGCTGACTTGGGATCTGTGTTGCTGATACGCCTGAGTAACTCGCAGCTAGGGCTTCAAGGTCTTCGATGCTGCTGGAAGGCTACCCTAAACCCTAAGCCCTCAACCCTAAGCCCTAAACCCTAAGCCCTCAACCCTAAACCCTAAGAAGCCGGAATCCGAGATCAAGCCTCGACCCAAAGCTCGAATCTGGCAAGCCGGAATGTACCGAAATTCCAAAAAGCTTAATTTCCAACAACGTCCCTCTTGGTTTACATGATTATATGCTACATAGCGAAATATACCAATGTATATGTATATGTGTGTTTGTATGTGTATGTGTATGTGTATGTGTATGTGTATGTGTATATGCATGCATGCATGCATGCATGCATGTAGGTATGTATAATGTAGGTATGTAGGTATGTAGGTATGTATGTATGTATGTATGTATTTATGTGTGTATGCATCTACGTATGTAAATGTATACATACATGCATGCATACACACATACTAGGTTTCGACTGTTGACCCTTCTCCCTGCAACCAAGGCCGAACTCCAAAACCTGAAGCCACTGATAAACCCTACAAGCCCTACAAACCCTATAAGCCCTATAAACCCTAAATACCCTATAAACCCTAGAACCCTAAACTGGCCAAACTCCCGAGTCCGCCGTCCCGGAGCCCTGAAGCCGAAACCCAACGCCCTCACCTCCCATGACTGGATCGAAGCCTACATAAGACCCCAGAGAGCCCAATACACCTTAAATCAGGAAGTACAGTTTAAATTTAGAGAGGCCTTGGTATTATGATTTACGGTATATTCCTTGATTAATGGGTATTGGGCTCTCTGGGACCCTGAAGCGTAACCCCTAAACCCTGTAGAGGGGCCGACTGGAAATCCTAGGCACAACACAGATGCACTTTGGAAGCAGTTCCGCTCCCAGTTCGGACCTCGGAAAAGTCACGATTATTGTCACTATCAGTATTAGAATAATCAGTGCTATTAGGGTTTAGGGCTTAGGGGTTAGGGTTTAGGGTTTAGGGGTTTATAACTCTCACTATCGGTGTTGTCATTAATATTACAAGTGCAATTACCCAACTTGTTGCTTTTACGGTTAGCATGACTACTACAGGGTGGAGAAGGAAATCCGCGGGGGGGAGGAGGGGGCGGGCAAGGGAGTTGCGGGTCACTGGGAGGGCATTAAGATGGAGGGTAAACATGGTTCCGTAATGATCTCTCCCCGCTTCGGTCAGGACCGGGGAGAGTCATTATTGTTTTTTCTTCTTGGAAAACCTGATCGATTCCTCCGGATCCGTCAGGTTCGGACAGTTCATCCAGTTCGACTACGGCCAGGCCACTTTCGGCATGCCCAACCACGTTAAGACACTCAGGCCGAAGTTTCAAGCTGGCATTGGGGCTCAGCCCTCAAAACCCCTAAACCCCTAAACCCCTAAACTCTAAATTCTAAACCCTAAACCCCTAAACCCCTAAACACCCCTAAACCCCTAAACCCTAAACCCAAGATATCGCGTGGACATGTTGTCGGCACTGACGCATTCTGGGGAGCTCTAGGTTGGGTTTCTACGGCTTCTGCGGCCTACTGCCGAGTCCTTCCGGTAAGGACTCCTGAAAGGGGATCCTAAGTGCCCCGACTTCCGAATTCCACGAAGATACTATACTACCCTATACTATCCTATACTATCCTATACTATATGCTATCCTATACTATACTATCCTATACTATCCTATCCTACTAATGACTAAACTACCCTATGCTATGCTATCCGAGACGATTTTATAGGATTTGTGAGAGGGGTTTCGGGGATCTCCTTGTGCCGCTGGGGTTGGACCCCCCCCCCTCTGCCCAAGCGTAATCCAATAGGGCTCCCTTGTGACAAGTACGAATGACTATGACATATCCCCAAAAACCCTTATTCCAGTCATTACGGCCCCCCATGTAAACGCTAAGACGGGTGTTCCCTGAAGTCTGGCCGTTTCGTATTTCGGGTTCTCAAGACAAGAACTCTTTCAGGGTATAAGAACCCCACGAAGTATTGAGGGCCCGTGTTACGGAGCCCTCACTTGCTCAACTCGTAGAAACTGGCTGAGGTCTAGCACAGCGTCTAACTGCCTGAAAAAACCCCGGTTATGTATTGAATAAGTTATTCACATGGTTTTGGAAACATGAACCCTCAAGCCGAAAGATACAGTGCCACCTTCCAAGGAAATGCAACGACATTTGGACGAAGTTCGGCGCCTTGCCGCTTTTTCGTGTGGATTTCAGGATTTAGGCTGCCATGGACGGGCTTCAGGAGTTGGTGAGGCTTATATATATATATTTTTAATTTTTTATTTATTTATGTATTTATTTATTTATTTTTATATTTTTATATTTTTATATTTATATGTATTTTTATATTTATATTTGTATTTATATTTATATTTATATTCATATTTATATTTATATATGTATTTATTATGTACAAATAACACAATATGTATGTATGTATGTATTTATGTATGTATGTATGTATGTATGTATGTATGTATGTATGTTATGTTATGTTATGTTATGTTATGTTATGTTATGTAATGCAATGTAATGTAATGTA